TTCCCAAGCCAAATGGGTCCATATACCCTGGTTATGCGATTCGCCTCGGACGCCAGAGCTGTGACATATAGGTTGTCTGACGGTGCCGCAATTACTGTAAACTCGTTTGATGAGGTCTTTAGGGGCAGAAGAACCTCTCTTACCTGAACCCTCCCAAGTGGGGGCCGCCCGCGGGGCCCGGCCTGTAAGGATGGTATGCTGGCCTCCTCCCGCAGCGAATTGCCCGTTTCCCAGCAGCCCGGCAGCACCCGCGCCACCCGGTAAAGATTCCAATACTTTCCGGGTCCCGGAGTTCTTTGCCCCCGGGGCCGATAATCGTTTTTTGGCTTGAGCGGCGCCTTTTTCAATTGCACATGGCATGTTGTGCTGTAATGCCTTGTGCGGCCGTATCGAAAACAACCCGCAAAGCTTGGAGGAGGAGCAGAATGTTTTTTTTTGCTTTCTGGGCCGCCTGAAAAACCGGGTCTTCCTCTCTTCTGGGATCGCCGATGGCAATGGCAAGCGTTTGGAAATTAGCGCCGGGGTTTTCCTTCGCCGCATGAGACACTCGAAGCTGATAATGTAAACGTCTGCCCAATTGCGTCAGTTCAGCCGACATGCCCTCGTGTCGGATAGCATAAATCCATGCCACAAAATTGCCCCACGCCTGGCAGAGCTCAAACCCAGGCCTAATGGGTAATGGGAAAAGGTCGCGATAAGCCGCCAGTAACTGTTCTGGGGAAGTCCCCACTAAATACTCCATGGCTCCTTCAAAAGTCTGGATATTTTCCTCCGGACGAAAACCTTTGTCCACGAACTTGCTCTTCAGTTCTTGAATTCCTCGCAACCCCACCTGGGGCGGGGCCCCAACGCATTAGAAGACTGTTCAGCATGCCCGCCCATCTTGGCAGACTGGGTAACGGTGTGACAAGCATGTGGACTAAAGTCGTTTTCACCCTCTGTTGTAGCCCCCTGCGCTGGAAGTCCTGTCTGTTTTTCTTTCTGGGCACACCAAGCCTGCATCTGGTTGATATGGGTTTGCATCTGGATCTTCTCCTCACACAGCTGGTTTTTCTGCGCTTCCAACGTGTTAATGTGATGCTGCAATTGATTAATGCGATCGTGGGATCCCACCGTCTGAGCGTAAGCGTCCTGCTGGATCTTTAATTTTTTTTCCGTCAGTTCTGACCTGACCATTTCGTACCGCTGAAACAGCATTGACTTGCTTTCCTCCAGCGCCATCCACTAGGTTCGGAAAGTTGCCCTGGCATCATCGAAAGCCTTCAGAAAATTCTCGTTCTCTGGCATGTTAAAAGACACCATGGAGTGTCGCAAAGAAACAAAACTGGCCTTTCTTCCATTTTCCAGGCAAATGGTCAGTTCCCCATCTTCCAATGTGAGTATGCCTTCGACGCGATTGACCTGTGTACTGAAATTCGGTCTCTACTCAAACGAAAACGGGGTCCGTCCGCAATGTTCGACGAACGCCCTGAGAGCTGACAGGCTCGTCATCCATTCCACGTCCATGACGGCCTGCTGGGAAGTAGTGGATATCATTGTGATAGCTTGCTTCTGACTTACCTTTCGTTTCAAACTTACGCTTTGCGACACTTTCCTTACGCAAGATAAGAAGACACGTATTATTTTAAGTTATAGGACCCCTCTCAGCAAGTAGGGTAAGGCTTGACCATTCGTATCGCAGGCTCCCAAAAAAAAATGCAAGATAACTCTTTTTACTGATGTGAAATGAATGACCGGCCCTCAGTCATTAAAAAAAAATACAAAATCAAATACGTTGCAGTATTCTTATTCGGATTGTATTAACAGCATATTTTTCACCCGGTATAACGCGCAGGGCGTGTTTTAGCGGTTGAAAAATGAATAGCTTATTTTACATTTTGGCCCGGTACGCAAATTACATGAAAAAACATATACACTACAATGCGTTACCCTTAGCCGTGGCAAGGTGCCTGGGATTCCTTAGAACCTTTTGAAGCACGATCGGCTAGTAAAACAGTGTTGGAAGCCTTAAAGAAAAAGTTGGCCAAGCATCATCGGAATAAAAATGGCATGGTACAATTATCCAATTATATTTCGCAGGCGTGGTAGGGCGCAAACATTCAGTTACAGAAGCTGAAACAGCCCCTTGTCTCGACGCAAGGCGTTCCAACTAAGAAGGAATAGTGACTATTTAATAGCCAGAACACCACAAGACCAATATACAATGTAATGGCCTGAACGGTCTTTTACTTTCACTATATTTTTACACACCCCAGGAGAAAAAAATAGATTAAACTAACCGCGGCCACAGCAATAGCCCATTTTATTTTGCGGTAAAAACAGATAGATGGGTTGACAAGTGGCTGCTCACGAGCAAGGCCTCAAAACATTCAAAAGATCACAAAAGAGCGATTTTTTTTCAAAAGACGCCAAGAGGACGCCAGTCACACTTTTGATGGCACTATGGTACGCCCCCGGGCAGCCTTACCATGCCAACCTGCTAGGGGGCCATCGGGTCATACGTACCATGCCGACGGCGCGCCCCCTCGTGCAAAATGGAATTGGGGAAACTTTCTATGATAGGCCATTGCGTTTCCTAGTGAAGCGCTTGCTCCCACTCAAACTCAACTTGCCAGCTGGCCGTGCCTTCAATTCCGAGCCTTGCAGCTGGCAGGGGGTAGCCCTGGTGGGCGGGCCCGGGGTATACATGAGACCCCCTTTAAAGCCTCAACAAAACCCGAACAGTTTTCGCTGCCGGCAAAGGCAGCGCAGAAGAAGTCAACAGCTATCTTCCCAGCAAAGCACAATTTTTAGAATGCGGGAAGATGACCCATTACAGCGCCATGCGTCGCAAGCATGAACTTTGCAGGTTATTTGTAAGCCAAAAAATGAGTATCAACCCAAGATGCCAAGGCTTATCTCGACGGAGCGCCCTTTTTTTTCTTTTTTGCCTTTTGACTGGAATTAACAGCACGCCGTGCCCGCCACCACCAGAGAACAACCCATCGCCACCAAACGTCGATATGGAAAGAAGCCGATTTGCTTTGTTTTGCTTTTTGTTGTTTTAGGATTCGATAATTTCTGTATTTTGTTTTTCGCTTCATTTGGCTTTTCCATTGGGGAAGAGCGCGCTGAGGCATTCAGGTGGCCGTTTGCTTTCACCAGGCATCCTGTACGCCAACTTCCCCGGCTTTTGGAAAATCGCTGGGGTGTGCCGTGCTTTTTTTGGGGGGTGGGGTAGTGAAATCTCTGAACCAAGAAAGCAAATGGAGAGTGAAAAAGCCTATTTCCGATTTCTCGTGGCGGGCGCCTCCTCCGTCGTGGAAGCGCGTTGGGGACTAAGCCTTTCCATCGCAACAAGGTAGATGGGCAAGCTTTTCCGTGAAGCAAAGCTTCCCCATATTCCCCCCATTCGCAGCAATACTGCATTGAAGACCCTTTAGGGCGAGGAAGCTCATTTAGCGCAGGTTCGTCGCTTCTCATTTTTACTGTTGGCTAGGCTTCGCGGTGTTTGAACTAAATCCGTGTCCGGCCATGCGGTGCCTTATGAGCCGATGCTTGCTGCGGCGTTGGTGCCCGCACGTCCAACATACGAAGCTAGAAAGGAGCACTTTGCCAGGAGCAGCATCCTGTGGCTTCCGGCGTTTCCAACTTTTTGGCACCCCTTTTCTCTTCTGGAACCTTCTGCAGCATGACAAGGCTGAGAAAAAGCGCGCTAAACAATTCAGGCATTCCTCATAATGTTTTCCTTTCGCTTTCCTAGTGGTTGTAGGCCGTTTTTCTCACTCATTATTGCCGCTTCTCTTGCGAGGGGTGCGCTATTTCATTTTCGCTTTGGCAATGGGGCCCGGCAGCGCGCGGCGCCCTTTGAAAAGATCCGCAAAGCCACTTAATATTGTAAGTTTGTGGGTTCCCTTTTTTTTCCGATTCTATGGGCCGCTGCGCCCTGATGCCGCGTAGGGGCGGCCGGTGTTGCCAGGGAGGGGCGCGCTTTTCTCCTATTTGTTGGGAACTCTTCCGGCAAGCTGCCCGAAAATTTGGGGAAGGTGCAAACAGCCATGGGTTTCGGACGCGGTGGCGAAGTGGAAATGCCAGCGTTTCGCCCTCAGTTTCAAGGGGGCGGCCATTAAGCCAAGAAACCGTCTTTGCCTCACCATTCCGCCCGCGCGCCGGCACAAAAAAAGTTCCAAGCAATTAGCTTTGCTTTCCAAACAATACAAGCAAGTTCTCTGCCTTCCTTCGCCGGTCAAACCAATGCGCCCAGACGTTTACAAAAATATGGCAAGAGAAACCCCCTTGACAGCACAAAGCGCTTGGGGCCGAGCGATTGCAACGGCGCAAGGCCATAAGGCAGAGCAGGCCTTCATGCCAGGTTTGTCGACTTTTCGCCCTTTTCGCCAAAGTGAGGTGCTAAACCTTGGTGCCAAGCTAAGGCGGTCGGCTTTCCCGAGGGAAACACGCATTATATATATGCCCCAAGGCAAGTAAGCTTAGGGAAATAATATAAGAGGGCAATAGCCCTCGATATGCTTTTTTTCTCGGAGAGCATGTGCTTAATATAACTCCACCTATCGCCTCTATTCGTCCGAAACCAACTAGGGATAAAAAAAACATATTAAAAGAACTTTACAAAATTTGTTCATTGTTTTTCAAATTGGTGAACCCAATCGGTTGGGAATAACCCAATTAGAACCATTTTCTTATTCAATCAGCATTCTACTGACGAAAGGGAAACTTTAGAGCCCCTCACTTCAGAGGCCGCTGCTCTTCTTCCAAAGGTTCTTTATCACGCCATGTGCGCCTCCTAAAAAGCTTACCTGCGTAAAGTATAGTCCGCCGAATTTTCCACAAGCCGCAAATACAAGAATATCCAATGCCGCACTTTAGCTAACGAAAGAAAGAAAGAAAGAGTAAAATATTTTTGTTTTCAACGCGTGTTTTGTTGCGTTCTTCCATGCTGATTGGAAGCGCGCTTTACCATGAGAAAGAAGTTACTGATTTTCTTTTGGAGTTCATCAAAAAGTTACGAAATCAAAAAAAAATGAAACCGTGCTTAACCGGCCTCCCGCGCTTTCCCTGGCAAGCTCCACCCCTTCGCTAGGCCAAGCGCTTTTACGCCCTTGCTTCTAAAAATTTTGACAGCTGGATTATTTTTTGAATGAACTTAACGCCACTCAGCACTCACCGTGGGGTCCTTTAGCATCCTGTCGATGGCTGTTGCTTCTCGCATTAGCGCGCCCAAGTGTGTGCTACCCCTCCCATTATCTGCATAACAATTGTTTTATCCACGCATATGCGCAGTAGCCCACCGGGATGGTGGCAGAAAGCCTGTGGGTCCAGGTGAACCGTGCAAACTTACGCTTGGGAAATCGTCTGGGACACTTTGTTCTAGGCGCTGCCGACGATAATTATCCCCCCAAAATCCCCAAACAACAAGGCACCGCATCCACACACGGAGGCGCCTGTGGCCAACTTTGCGTAAGTCGGTGTCCGCCATAGGAGACTAGCTGGCCCATTTAAAAGCTAATCTTCTCCCCGCTGTTCGAAAGGCGTGCGGCATTTGTGGGCGGGATGGTGGCGCCTGGTTGGCGTGGCAGGCCCCAGGTTCAACCGCAAGAAGTCCTTGGTGATGTCGGCCGCCTCATCGTGGCACCAAGGCCCAGCACCCCGCATTGCCGGGAGAAACCAAGCGCCAGCAACGTTCGCCACCTGGAAAACTTTGCGGCGCCCGGCTTACGGCATCACACAGTACCAGGGCCCGCCGCGCCTCGCTTGGACACAGTGTTATCCTTGTCGATCTTGGGGCGCGTGTTACCGCGCCATCGGCAGTATCATCCGCACCAGGGTACTGCTTAGTGGAAATGTGGAAGGGAACGGTCCAGAAGTAGCCCTTTCTCCCCCTCTCAGCTTCATCTCCCCTTTATATTTTTGTTGATCTCACGCCGAATGTGCCCCCCCCCCTGAGAGAGCTAAGACCAATGGGGCAAGTAGGCTTTTCCGGCCCAGTTGAGAGCACTGAGCCGACCGATCCTCCAGCGCATGTTTTCAATGGACCGGCACAACGAAACAGAGATCAAAATACCAAAAACAACAGAACAAAAAACAGAAAAACACCAAAAAATAACAAAATACATAACAAAACAAAGGGAACTCCTTCCACATAGAAATTAAGCAATAATGAACGTGCTCTACGATGGTGGCTGATGGAGCGGAGCCATCGATGAGAGTCGTGAAGACACGAGGAAGAAAAAAAAACAAAAAAATACCGGAGGGTAAGAAAGTTGCGGCTCTTAATGGAAAGTGGGGAACCTTAGAAAATAATGACTGACGCAAAACCCCGCCCTGTACGGTCTCAGGGGAGAAGCCTCCCCAGAAACACTGCCCCTACGCCCCACCGCAACAAACAGAAGAACCTTTTTTTTTTCAAGAAGAACCCCCACCTTTAAGAACTTCAGCATGTGAGGTCCAAATTCTTTCAGCACCTTTTCACAAAGCGTGCTTGTGGTGCTCGCTTCGGAAACAAAAACGCGTTACGAAAGGTATGTGGACTTGTTTGGTGTGGGAAGGGCGGGTGCCCATGATGTGAAGAATTTGCGTATTTGCGAAAGTGAATAATTTAGGTACTCCAAAAGAAAACGCCCCTGTTTTTACTATCAATCCACAGCGGGCCGAAAGCAGTGCGATGCAATATTTAAAAAATCTGGTATTTTTATTGGCGGCAGTGTAAACGCCTGCCGGTGTTTTTTTGTCCGGCCTTGAACAACAGGCGGTGGCAAACCAAATGTAACAGACTGGCCTTTGGGGGGGGGGGGTTGTATCCAATCAGCGATTTTGATGCCCCTTGGAAACAGTCAGCCGGTCGGGCAAAAACGTTTTATTCCAGAAGGAAAATTCCAAATCACATTTTCAAGACAAGGGCACCCCCATCATGGATTGAGGGGCCCTTCCCCAAAATAATCAAAATTGGCCCATATAGAGCGACAGGGTATGTGGTGCTTTTTGGGAAAGGCACAAAGAAGGCCCGACTCTTCTTAAAAGGCACAGTGAAAGGGGGAAAAATAACGAAATAAACAACATGAGGCGTGGAAAAAAAAAAAACACTTAGGCCGCGCGGAATGGCGGCGCCTTCCTAGAAAGGGGAAAACTCCCCCATGCAGTCGCAGAAGTAAGCTAACAAGATCTTGGCCTACCAATGCTGGGTCAGTTGGGAAAACGCACTGACCCTTTGGAATTCTCAAACACCAACGCGCATTACCCGAGGCATCGGGTTGCCCTGGTGAAAAAAAAAAGCCGGTTCGGCCGGCGGCGGCATGCATGGGGGCGATGCTGTAAAATAGACCTCGCAGCCGAGGGCCGTTGCTGACGCGGAGAAAAAAGAAAAGTTTCTTTTTCAGAGGCATAGCATTCTTTGGCACATCTATCGCAGAAGGGCGGCCACCCAAGAAGAATAAAAAGAGTTTCCTTACGAGCAAGGCGGCGCCGAGACGTTACCCACCGGGCTGGGCCATAATCTGGATTAATTCAAAGGCAAAAGACTGGCTTTGTGGGGTGTGAAAAAAACATGAGCGGGCCCGCAACCCCGCCGGCGGGAGAATGGGGGCCCCTTTCATAGATATCCGAAGGGGGCGAAAATATGATGGAAAAAAAGCGGGTGTTATTCAAAACGCGTCGGCACCCACTGCCGCGTTTCGGGTGATGCCTTTGTGGCCGTTTAGGGGGGGG